CTTTTGGAAAACAACCAGAAGTATTTACAAAGATTTTGAAAAAAAAGTTGATATGTTAGTTTTCTAGGGCTTATCGGCTTTCTAGTTAGCTTCCCGCGCACTAGCAGCTTGTTATGTTCTGAGCATTATTTCGTCAGTATGGCTCTATCTGAGCAATAAGTTTTGTCCTTCAACACCACATTCGTTTTTTTTCAATTTTTTTCCTTTTTTGCGAGTGTCTTCGCGTTTTCATAAATAGCTGCTTAACCTGTGCCACCATCGGACCAAGCTGCATTTGGCCTGTATCGCGCAAATTTAGCCGAACAAAATGTCTCCTTGGCAGTGCAAAATAATGGCATGTACAGCTACACTACCAAATCCTGAGCTGAAATCCCTGGAGCATTCCTAGTTGCTAGTAATTCTACGTTTTCTTTGTTGTTTGTCCGCTGTACAAGTAAGTTGCTCACAAAAAAACATAGTGATTTTTTTTTCGGCGAAACGGATTGGATGAAAAGCGAGCATGTTTCCCAGTGGATTGTTGTGCTGGAAAACCACTGCATCTTGCTGAGGCAGCAAGCCATCTGTGTCAAGAAGTGAGTCGCATTATTTGATTTTCTTTGTTTCATACTAGTAATTTCCTCGTGAGAAGGCCTTGGTTCTTTGTTCTGGCCTACTCCATTAAGAAACTGCCATCGTGATTCTGCTCTGATATACTTATAGCTTTATCACACCACCAAGGCAGTTTTAGTGGAACTTCGTTACTACCAAGTATTTTGGAAATTTTTGAAAAATGTAACTATGGATGTTTGTTTGGCGCTGTAGGCCAGCCGATGAAAGGGACACAGTCGAATATTGTCATCTGTGGGAAAGCAGTGAGTGCTAATTCAGATACCAGATAAACGAGCCTGTATGTGCATTGGCTGTTGTCCGGTCTGTGCTTCATCCCTAAACTGTAAACACAGACGGCAGAGTCGGTGCGGAATAAGGTGGGAGTCATCAGTACAGTGCCTCACTCCGCCATGTTTTGTGCCCAAACATCGGATACAGCTGTCTTTAATTGCGGAAGGAGGCATTTAAAACTTTCAGTACTTTGAAGAGTCATTCCCGTTCCTTTCTTGCATAATTTTTTATTGAATTGCTTGAAGATAAGAACCCAAGTCCAAGAATTTTGTATCGTACAAGCCAGCTGAGAGTTTTGCGTTGTGCGAGCCAAATGTCTCCTTGGCGTGCTGGGGGCTGTTAAATTTTAAGTAACCATTATCATACTTCGACTGAGTTAACCTTCGACAGCACACAGGCATTTAACTGATGTGCACAGAGTGTGTTTCCAATAGTGTCGTCGTTTTTATGAATTCTGCGGGTTGTGAGTTTTCTTAGAAAAGTCTGTACTGCAGTGCATTTGGGGGATTTCAGATTGATGGAGAAATTTCTTGATTGCATTCATGCAGAAACAGAATTGCAATTGCGACAGCTCATCGAGAATGAAGAAGGTTAGATTGAAAAGTTGTGAAGAATGATGTTGGTACAAGTGAAGATACAAAAAGTTGCATTTCTCGGTACGGTAAGACCCAGCATAGCTGTAACCGACGACGCATGTGCGCATCCTAGTAGAATCATTAACATCGAGTTCCCACACATTTGTCCATGTGGTCTTAAATAGTCTTTGTTGTATACCGAATAATTGCCGGGCACTACAGTGAGAAGCATTCACAGATTTTTTTTCGCACCTATCGGGAAACATTGGTATGTATTAATTCTTGATGTCTCGTTCATAAAACTGCCCTGTTTAAGTCATTTTTTTAAATGAGCTATGTCGATGATCCAGTGTACGCATTTTTTGATTTTTTTTTCCGATGATACAAGTTTTCCGATTTTTTAGAAAAAAGCGTAACTGAGGTTGAACGCGAGGCGAAGTTATTGGAGCTTTTAGTGGATATAATTAATCAAAAAAGTTCACTGGTTGAATCAAAAATGGAAGTGAGCTCAGTGAATAGAGGTAAAACTTTGATTTGTCTTTTACCTATGCTCAGAATGGGGTGACTTGCCCTTGTTGTCCGCGAAATTTTGCTGCACCTCAGAAGCGTTGAAGAGTCTTCGCCAGTACTGCAAGCGATTTTAATTATTTCCTTATCCTCTCTTATTGTTTCATATATTTTACGTTATGTCCTTTGAACTTTACCTGACTCGACAGGAGTTCAACAAGCGTTAAATTCCTACTGGCTAACCGGATGCCGACTCACAGACTCGAGTCGTTTATTCAGTCTAGCTAACTGGCAGGACCTGCCCAAAAATGCGTTAATTCTTTCCGGTGATAAGCGGTTGCTATCGTATCGTATCTTGAAGAAACGATAGCTCTTGTAAAGTGCTATCATTCAGGCCGCTTCTTTATGCTCTTGTTTCTCATGGAGAATAAAAACGCGGGATGCATTCTGACTTTTTAAAGCGTCAGCTTATATATTTATTCAACTTCCTTTTCAGAACTACAAATGGATGCGAAGAAATCGAAGAAGCGTATAAAAACTCGCCTGAAAAAGCTGAGGGCAAAGTTGTTAAAGCAAGGCAGGAATGCTTCCGGAAAAGGATGTTAATAGTACTTAGCACTGTTACTCCACCGGTGTATTTTTGTGAGTGAAAATGCGGGTTCATTTGCATTATTAGTATTTCTTGCTTCTTTTTTTTTTTCTCTCTCTCTCTCTCTCTCTTCCTCACTTGTTTTGTCTTTCTGAGAATGCTGTAACCGTTCTGCCTGACTTTTTCCATTCCAACAGTAACTTTTGTGTTATTTTTTGTTTTCTTCAGTCATTCCAGTGGAACTCTGACTTTCAGCAGATGCTTTTTGCTTAATTTGCTTTTCGAGACCGTTTTTGGATCCGGTGTGATTATGGATTTAAACCACTGTGTTTGTTGTGCCTTTTTTAAATCTCTGTGAATATTTATCGGCAGCTATCCATTAGTTTGTTTAGTCATACGTTCCTGCACTCATTTGTCAGAGCATCAAAACCTACAGAATTTAGCTGTGCTTCATACATGTAAATCATCGAAATTTCAACTTCATAGCTTTCTGCGTTCTCAAGCTGTTGAACAACCTCTCTTGGAGCATGAGTACGTGAATCAAAAAGAACTGAAAAAAGCAGGAGGTGAAATTCGATTTTGAGTAATTTAGCAAAACAGGAAGACTTCGGATTTTTAGCTCGCTCTATTCTGAAATTATGAAGTGGACCTCAGCTTAAGACTGTAATTCTCAAAAAGTGTTGCTTAGGGACATGTATGGGACTCTCTGCTCCAGCTTATGATTCCCGACTATTTGGGGCCGGTTGTACCTCGCTGCTCTGTACTTAGTACAAAAGCCCTGGTGCACACCAGTAGTTTGACATCTGCTCGCATTTATTTTTCTTGCGTTTTCACACTCATCTGTGATTTATTTGTGCGGTCCGTCTTTTGCTTACGGATGGTTTTCTGAAATATCTCTGTCTGCAGTTTTACCCGGGTCCTTGTTCGGCGGTGTATCTGTTTTTCATCCTTTCCTTCGCTGTGCTTTTATGATTTGGTGATGTATCCAGTTCCGGAGGGAAGGTTCAGTTTAGATTTGAACTTATTGAACCGCAGTGGTACTTGTGTGCAAAATCCCACTGTAGCTAATCTGAATTTTGTGTGCATGTGTTTTTTTTTTTGATAAATTCGCTGTTTAAGCAAATTTAAGTACAGCCCTTTCGCAACTGGATTTCCGTTCTGGATGAGATTTTATGCATTTCTTTTAATACGTGCGTAATTTTGGCTCTCAGTAGTCCGGTCTGGATGGGTCATTCACAAAGGAAATGGTACTTTTTTCGAAAATGCAACCCATTCATTCAGTGCTTCTTTCAGATTTTGTGGATGTATTAATACATTTTGCGATAACACATGAATTTGCCGTTTGGGTAGCGCATACACACACACACACACACACACACAC